TGTCAATTCTTAATTACAAATTTTTTTGCAAATGTTTTTTATTATAAATTCAGTAAAAAATTCATAAAAAATCTATATTACAAAAAACTTTTATATTCTGTATTAATAAATATGGAATATAGATTTTTTAAAAGTTTTTTACTAAAAACTTTACTACTTTTTATTAAAAACATTGCAAAAAATTTGTAGTTAAGGATTGACAAACAATTTTTCATGTTGCTAAATATTTGGATAAAAAGTTAAGCGTCAAATTAATTGCTATAAAAAGGAAAGATATATCGCGATGAAAAGTTACAACAATTAATTTTAAAGTAAATTCTTTTTTTTAATAAATACCTTTACATATCGTTATTTAAAAGTTAATGTGGTTTTTTTTAAAATTAATTACTTCTTTTATGTTACCGCTAATTTAAAAGTTAAAAAATGATAAAAAGTAGCTTAACCAAAACAGCTCTACGCGTAAAAAGCGCTTAAGTACGTAAATCGCTCTAGGCGTAACGCTTTAAAACAAGGCCTGCAGTGTAGAGGCAAGTTAGCACTTTTAAAAATCTAAGATTTGGTCTGATTTTTTGTAAAAAATAACAACATAAATTTATAACATAATTACATAATTAAGTTTTAAAGGCTTTTAAAAAAAAATTTTTTTTAAGTAACAAATTTTTTCATATATTTATTCAAAAATTTATTCCATATCAAATTAAATACTACTTTTACATTAGTGGTTTATCAATTTTCATGTCAGTAAATTCATTTTGAATGGAAACTAACCGAATTTACTAAACTTTTATAGATAGACAAAAAAATTATATAAGAGAGATTTTTTTATAGAAAACCCTTACTTTCAGAATAAAGGTATTAAAAACGGGGTCTAATAAATAGAAAATGTTTTATCTAGAAGAAAGATTACCAGATTATTAAGTTCAATTAGTTTAAAGATGGAATGATGCATAGTTTTTGTAATAAGCAACATTTTTGGGTGGGATAGTGTGGGTCTATATGTCAATGTGTTTTTTGCCTTTAAAAACCTAATGCTTATACAACAATAAATACCTTTAAAGTGAAAATTAGTATAAAGTCTGAATATGTTTCTGGAATCATGTTGCTATACATTCCTTTAGATGATCATTAAGAAGTAATGATATCATGTTTTCAATTAAAACTAGTAGATAATGCTGCATAACAATATTAAAGGATTGTATATTGAATTTTTGTTATATAAA